CTCAAAACTTTCGTGCTTGGATCAAATTAATCATAGTTTGACTAGTAGCTCTACAATTGAGCGGGCACAGCCTCTTTTATTAAATTTTCCCAGACCTCTGGCATTTTTCCTTCTGATCTTAATTTGCAAATGTTGTCTTCTCTTTTAGGTTTACCATTAGTTTCGCATTTGGTGAACTCCCTTACTTTTTTATTATGTTGGTAAAGAATCAGTGCTCATTAGCATATAATATTCCAAGACGTATGCTTTGTGAGGCTGGTCTACTTCTCATAGCAGAATAACATGAACATTTTTTTTCAGTAAATAGTCTTTCTTATTAGGGTGTTAAAATAATCCAGTAGTGTATATTTATCTATGTACATCTATATACATCTATTCTTTGTTTCAAGTCGCTTGAAATAGTCTTAGTTTTGCATACTATTAAGGCGACTAAATCTTATTGCCGAATCTTCATGAGCTTCTCTGATCTACATATATATTATTAGAGGTGCTTATTGACGACTATAAACTAATTATTTTAGCATTGCAAGGATAGTATACACATTATATTTGGGCCATGAATAAATTATAAACCTAGATCGTTGTCAATGTACACAAATTTCGAAAGGCATCATTAGAACTGACAACTATTTTGACCACATTTAATTAAAAAAAAAGCTTTTTATTTTTTCTTAAATTTACTGCGAAATTTTCGTCTCGGGCGGGCTGTTGTTTTGGCTCCATCTTAGTCTTGTCAACACTCCGGCTTGATTATAAATTTAGATGTGCTGGCTAAGGGACAAGTGCTTTAACCATGGACCTCAGCTTTTGTCCCTTTAGATTACGCTATAAGCATTACTTTCGCTGCGAAACAGGATTCTTTCCACTGGCACATGATGGAAATAAGCTCATCCCTTTTTTCACTTGAAATAAGAGAGGGTGTCTCGTGGACTCTGTTACCCTGAACGTCGTGTTAAAGCCAAATGGCTGCAGTACATCGGGTATCGCCTGTCGACCTCATCTATTCATGTACTTTCATACGAAATGAAAGTCTCCTCAACAATTATATAAGTAAAGAACTATACGATATTAGCCATATTTCAACTAGCGTAAGTGTAATCAACTTCCAAGATGCTACTTCTCTGAGTGATACCAAATATTGTTGCTATGATTAAAGTGCATTTTCATTCACTATGCTTCAACAAAATGCAGTGTATGTCTGACATGCGAAAACTGTCGAATGAGAAGCGAGTTTTCTACCTGCTTACGAAATACCTTTTTTCCTTATTTAAAGATAGTTTTGAAGAAACGCAAGCTCCTATCAAATCCGTGGTCCATTAATTGATGGTGTAAATTTTTTATTTTCGCTTTCTTACAGATATCTTCATTATCATTGTAGCGAATGCAGGAAACGTTTTTATTTCTCCATAAGTCCTTGCCACAAAATTCACCTGAATTATTTATTTCTTAAATGCTTTCGTTCTCGTAATAAAACTAAGGATTTTCCAAGGATGTGTGAAACCACTTGCTACCGATGCTAGATTGTTACTTTAAACTTGTTCAAATTCGGATAAGAGTTTCACGATGCTATGACCTTCATTTTCGTCGTCTCCTCTCGCTGTATAGAATCGGTCTACCTTCCTTTTCTAGCTTGGCCGTTGTGTTAGGGAGGCTTCGAAGGGCATGCTAAATACTGCGTCCCATACCGTAATTGTCATGATTTATTGCTTCATCGGACTGCTGACTGGGTACATTCCTAGACGTTTCTTTGACATCGTCAGTCAGCCTCGCCATCCTCAGAACGGATCTACAACTTGCCTCTGGTCTGTCCTCTCGCTGCTAAGGATGACAAGGCTTAATGAAAATGTTTTTTGTGATGCCAGTGGCTCGTCTGGGAATATACCCATTCAATGCAATAATAAATGTTACTAACTTTCGTCCATAATATGAAAGACATCTTTAGAGCTGGAACTCA